TGACCTGCAGCCTACATAGCACAGCCAACAGAAAAAGCAGCTAACAAAATCTGTGTCCCTGATACACAGATCATCACCACCGGTTTTAGTGACAGAACACTGTGAAAGTCAGTTCCTCCTCTACATAAAAATCTTCGTTACTTACGCATTTATCTTCTGCATGTGGCTTAACATCAGCACTAATGGAAAGCTCCATAGGTTTTGGCAGCTCTTCTTGAAGCAAATTCAGCTGAAGTGGGGAGCTGCTCCGTGAGCTGCTCAGCAGTAGGGCCTGGTCACACTGGCCCTCTTGCTGGTCCTCCACGGATGAGTGAGGAGAGGCTGGAAAGGGCTGATCCACAGAGTGTGGTGCTACTGGTGATGGAGCACAAGGAGGGGGTGCTGGAGGTAGTGTGGTGCATGGATATGAAGAGGGTGGATAAACACACTGAGGGCTAGGGAGCAAGAGAGGTTGAGGCATCTGAGCATACATGGGGAAACCCTGAAAAAATACAGCCATAAATGAGCCTATGTTTGGGGGATAAAGGACTGGGTATGACTGTGTTCCACAGCACAGCTGTGATGAGGACATGGACTGAGGTTGTAATGAGCGAAGGGCAAGCTGCTCTCCTTCAGAAGAGGCTGGAAAAGTAGACACTGGATTCGAACAGGCAGGAAATCCCACAGGAGGATGGACATTCAGGCTGGAGGAGCTCAGATAGGATACTTCTGGTGGAGAGAACAACTGGTTCTGATTTGTTCTCTTCTCACATGGAAGACTATTTCTATTTTTACTAGAAGAGTGGCTATCTGAGCACTGTCTCTGAGGTTTCTGGCGCTTGAACTTTCCATGTTTTCCTTTTTTACAGCTAGCTGGGCTGATCTGTTTTGAAGGGGAATCGCCTGAGGAAGAAAAATAAACATATTCACTGAAATGACAGACCCAGGGAGAAAAAAAAGAGGAAAAAAAAGAGGAAAAACACCCAGATAAATGAGCGTGGCTTATTCAGAGATCTGACTTTCCTCTGGATAACTCTTCCATAAACCAGTGATGGATTTCCTGACATATCTACAATATCTTCCTTCATGTCATCAATTTTCTTATTGATCACTTTGGCTTATCCCAATCAGATCTTTTATATTCTTTCAAGGGGAGCAACAAACTATCTGGGATTTGTAGGCTTTATTGCAATAACTAGCTATCTGCTTTGTGTAAAGTCTAAGATAGCAAGATCCAAGATGGAGCAGACCTTCTGTGTGGGCAATGCTGCTATCAAATCTTGGCAATCCAAAGGAATCATTCTGCAAGCAGCCACAATAAGACACTCACTAAATTACACAAAGAAGAACCAGACTTCATGGCTAGGTTAGCCTTGTAAATCATCTAACAAGTTTTTATTTCTCAAAGCTGCTGCCTACCTTGTCCACAGGAATGTCTGTTGTTACTTCTGCTTCCTTGTTGAAGGTAAGTCCTAAATGGAGAGAGCAAGACCCTCTGTCGGAACTTGTCAACATAGTTCTGCTCCTCCTTTTGAGTGTGGGCTGACAATGTCTCTTTTGTTAGCCCAACTGGCTTTAAGTCCTCAGGCAGCACTGCAAGACTCTGAGTATTCACAGGAGGCAGCTCAATTTGTTCACTTCCAACAGCAGCATCCTCCATTGTAGTCACTTCTTTGAAGAGGGAAGAAAAGAAATCACTCTTTGCTCTGCCCTTCTGGCGTCAACTACCACAAAAGCCAGTGTTACACAGTAAACAACCTCATCTGACCTACTGAGCAGAGGCAGAGGGAGAAAACACACTTTCAACTCAAATATAGTTACACTAACATCAACTGAGCAAGTTACTTTGCATGGTCTGGAAAACTTCAAATTCACTTTGAAGTTAGAGGCACTTCTTCATATTTTTTTAGCACAATAGCAGCTACATACTCTTTTTTTTTTTTTTACTTCATTTTAATGCAGAAAGAAGCAACATTGGCCCCATAGTAATTTTTATTTGAATCCTCAATGGCCAAAAGCACGTTGTTGTGTTTGAGGTATATGCAATGAAGTTCAAGTGGAAAAGAAACAGTGTAGTGTGTTAAAAACTATTTTACTAAAATACCCTAAAAACTTCCAAGCTCAAGTTTTTCTTCACAGCACCCTGAGAAGTACCTTAATATTTCAGAATTCAAATTCACTGAGGACATACCTTAAATGAACAAAGCTTTCTCACCGTGTACTTCAGGCTGGAAACATTGTGTAAATTTAAATATCAGTCAGTGTTTTGTGAGTGTGAACAGTA